AGCTGTACATCCCAAAGAGCCAGAGTGTCATGCCTCTGTCCGAGCCTGAATCGGAGGAAGAAATGGAGCCAGCACAGGACCCTGTTGAGGCCCAGGAGGGGATGTCTGTGGCTTTGGAGGACTGTAGGGAGGAACAGGCTGAGGCAGGCCAGGGCCCTTCAGATTTGGAACAGGGAAGGCAGAGTTCATGTGACGAGCAAGGCACCCCCACCTGATCCTAGAGCAAGAAGAGCAGAGAGGAGGAGAGAACGGAGGCAGGCTCAATTGCTTGGGAGGCACACCTGGGGATTAAGATTTAAGGAGATGTTGTGGGGTGGGGCATTTGCCAGGAACAAAGGTGGTATCTTGAGATAGTTGTGAATTGTGCTCTTGTCTTTGTTTAACCTGGACACTTTGAATTCCAGACAGTTGGTTTCCTGCTTCACGACTACAGACTGCATCTCTGAGTCTGCAGGCAAGCTGAGAGTTAAAAGGACTCATTATGTTTCTGTTTTTCTTTTTTTGTTATCTGTCTTGCCTTGAGGACATTGTAAACTTCTCTGGCTGTATTGCAATTGCCTTTAGCCAGAGGCAGCTGAAAGGAACATGTGTATGTGCTTCGGCTGAACTCTTGCAGCATATGTAGGAGGTTTTGGGGAACATTGGCAGTGATTAAAGGACTGTTTCTCTTGCCAACTGACTGCTTTGCCTCCGTTCGAGGCCCTTGGTCATCACATAGAGACTGACATTCATGCAGCTATGCCACGATTCAAAATCAGCTGGTCATTTCAGATTTGTAAAAACTTTGCACTGGTGAAACGGCAGTTCTGGTGACCATCAATAAATAGACATTGAAAGTTATGTGGCCAGTTGCCCAACTTGTGCTGCAGCAAAGAGAACGAAAGGAAAGACCCCAAGCTTGTTGCAACCTGTAGTGACCCCATCAGTGCCTTGGAGAGAAATCTCTATGGACTTTATTGTGGAGTTACTGGAAAGTGGGGGGAACACAGTCATTTGGGTCATGACGGATTTATTCTCTAAAGAAGTACATTTTATCCCATGCCGAAAAATCCCCAATGCAAAGACACTTGCAAAGCTGTTCATCCACCATATTTATCAACTTCATGGAGCCCCACAACGAATCATATCAGATAGAGGGGTACGAGTCACATCAGAATTCTGGAAAGCATTCCTAGGATTGTTTGAGACCATACAGGGGGTTGTCATCTAGTCATCATCTGCAGACGAATGATGGGACAGAATGGTCAAACTCAGTACTGGAGCAGTATCTCCGCTGCTTCATTAACTACCAGCAGGACAATTGGACTGACCTGCTCTCATTTGCAGAGGTCGCATATAACAACGCAGTACATTCCAGCATGGGCTACACTCCTTTTCAGGTGGCAACAGGACAAAGTTTCAACCTGATGCCAGAACTCCCATTGAATGGCCCGACCATCCCCTCCTTGAATACTCTTTCTTAGGGAAGGATGGATGCAAAATGGGTGTGTTAGGGATTATTATAAATGAAAATTCCCAGGTTTTGTGATTACTTTAAAAAACAAATTTGGAGTAAATTTGACAGAATGAATTAGTTTATAAATGTAAGCCATTGTGACATGAGCACATTCATACTTATTTACCCATCTCTACTTCAAACACAGCCATTATTTCTACTCATGTCCTTTCAATTTGGATCCCTAGAATCCCTGAATATTATAAACTGCTGTTAATTCGTATATTATAAGAAAAAACATTGCAATTTATTTTGATTAGGAGCAAATCTGTAGGTATTAAGAAGCAAAGATATATAATCAGACTGAGAAAGGGTAAATAATACAATTCAGCTATGTAAATAGTAATCCCCACTCTATTCTGTGCAACAGAAATTACCATAGCAGGACAAATTATAATGAGCAAGACATGTTGGAACTATATTCATGCCTGGAATACAGGAATATAGGACTTTGGGGCTATAAGGAAAAGAATATGGGAAGAAGAAGAGTGTGTCACAGTATCAATATATGTGGCATGGAAAAAAAATAAAGCTTTAGTTACCCAACTGATTTCCTATGAGTTAGTATTACTATCAGCCAATGCTAGAATATGTTTTATACCATGAAAACATACAAATCATTATGAACTTAGGGCGAAATGAAGTAATTAACATTAACTAGAATACCTTACTTAGATAAAATTAATAAAAGCAATTATGTGTAAATTTAACATAGTATCAATTTTTTTGCAGCTGTCACCCCAAACTGGAAATCAATGTATAAAAGAAAAGATCCTTCCAACACAGACATCACAAGTTATTATGATAGTATATAGACTGGACTAGAATGTTAGAATTATACTAATGAAATATATGTGAACAACTGAGTAATATTAAAAAGGCTTCATAAAAAAGAATAAAAAGATTACACAAACTAGCAGAAAAATGGACTATTTTTTAAAGGCAGATGTCAAGAGCATGCAATATAGGAAGGTCATTAGGGAAACAATTAGATAAATATTATTGGGCAGGAGATAGGAGATAGCTCACATCCTCTTATTTCCTCAAGTACTTCCTAAGAAGAGTAGGACATACTACTCCCACTGCAACTCCCTTTTCATGCTTTTTAAAGCTCATTTAATGGCATTTCTTTAAAAGACAATTTGGCTTCTTGACTCATTCCAGAGCTATTGTCATGAGTTAAGCTCTTACATAACTCTATCAACTCTGGTAATCTTGCCATTTGTAGGCAGATGAGGGCACAGAAAGAATGCTAAGCAGGCTCCTTTTAATTCCAAAAATGAGTCCCAATGAAGAAAATTTAGGGCACTTTCTGCTGCTCAAGTGTCCTCTCTCATATCGTAGAAAGTTGCTCGGTCACCAGTTGCTCTGTGAAATTGAGCAAGCAAACAAAAAGACAGCATATGACCTATTTTGAGGATGTATGCTGACAAGTCGGATATACATCTATTAATTAAATAGTTCAAAACAGAAACTTGAATTAGGTAGCCTTTAAATGCTGCGAAAGGTTACCAACAATTCTCTTCAAGCTACAGTACTGCAAAAATGATGTGAGTTTATACTTACAGTATACAGTATATAGTAATGTAGAAAGTAATTTTCCATGATTTTTAAATAATACTTTCTACGCTATTATTCTTTTGTTAAAACAAGATATTAAATGTTAAAGCCTTAATTATAACCCAGTAATTCATTGCTTTTTTTAAAAAAAATAGACACCACATTTTTAAATTAGATTTAGCAAAATGCTGCAAGGAATCCAGTGAAAAGTAACTTTCTGCTTTGCTGGAGAAAAATATTCTAAAGATAGAACTTTTTAAATGCCTGCTATACATACAAACTATTGCAGAATCATGACTGGATAACATATTTAAATTTGTTTTAAACCTGGATAACATTTAAATTTGTTTTAAACCTAGCAATTAAAAACATGCACACACCACTTCACCTAGTTGACAAAGCTGATGGAATGGCTATTAAATTTTCATTTATAACATCCTCCAACAAAAGCTTGATAGGTTACTCCTTTCGGTGCTCAAAAGAAGAGAAAATTAGAAGCTGGATAGAAAGAGGTTGGTAAAACATACAAGTTAAAAAGCAAGTAATAATACTTTTACAATAAAGGCAAACAAAATAAAAGTTATAAATAGTTTTGTATTTCTAAAAACTATTTCCTTTGTAATATGTTTCACCATATCCTATATTTTATCTCAAGGGACAATTTGACAGAAGATAATATTCAGATAAAACATTTAGAGCATTATATTTATGGAGACTGTACATGTTTAGAACATTTTTTCTGTCCCTTTAAAAATTACAATCAAATAGTTTTGGAAGTTTCAGATTGTTTCAAGCTGGACCTTCAAATATGTGAATTTGATTATCACTGGACCAAAGGAATGCCTTTACCTTCAACAATTTGAGTTATTTCCAAGTCTATTAGAAAACATTTTTGAATTTGCTTTCTATTAAGATGAAAAACATGTATGTATGCCCATAGGCTCTTTAAAATAAATAAGAGAGATTAACTATCTTTTCAACATTTCTAATAACAGCCCATATTTAAGATCATTTTCATTTAATACAGGGCAGGAATCCAGGAATAGCCCAACAGAATGAGGCCAAGACATCTAGCAAGGTGCCTAGAAAAGATCAGCCGTAATACAATATATCTACGAAAGATGTGATTTGTTCTCCACCTCAACAGACTCTAACTACACATGTAAATTCCTAAATATAAACTCTGCATGAATAAACATAAGCAAATATACTAGTTCCAGTGCAAATTGTTCCCATCTATAAAAGCATAGATCACAGGGAGACATGACCCTGTCAGTTAGTCATTGTTAACTATTTTTGCAATCTGATCCTATATACACAATGATAACATCACAGACTTCTGAAGTTTTCCTGTTTAGAAAATCATTCTTATTTCTTAAAAAATGTAAATATTACAATACTAAATCTGGAGTTTTTATTGCACTGCTCCTTTTATTTTTTATGCATTGGAATTGATAAATTAACATTATTTCCCAAATATATCTTTTTGAGAATTCATCTTTCAAATCCCATTCAATACTAAAAGCTTTAGGTCTTTCAATGCTTTCTTTGAAATTTCCAATACTGTCAGTATGGATTTGATATGTTCCAAATACTTATTTTCCCATCAATCACTGCTTGGGCCTTAAATAATTATTAATTATAAAATCATTTACCAATATTTTGCTCTGAATTATTTTGCACTCCAGAAAACTGCCCCTTATTCTTAAATGCTGTCACTATATCTTATTGCATACAACAAACATTAGTTCATATTGCTGAATGTAATAGTAAACCTTAAAATATGATTAGAAAATTTAACTAAATAAGAACCTGCTCTTCTACTATAATTTCTTACCAAAGTGGACAATAGTAGCAACAACATCATTATAGAAGTTAATTGTAAAAACAGCAATAGGCAGCTATTTTAAAGTTTTAAAAAAGGAAATTGTGTTGAAATACAAACCTTATTTAGCCTCCAAAAGTCTTTTTTCCTCTCCAGTATTTTAGACTTATTTGCAACCCCTTTCTCTTAATATTGAATGAGACATTTTCATAAATGGAATTTTAACAGGTAAGTTAAACTTATAAATTTAGTTTACCATTATGCTGTAACATAGAAAGATCTAGTGATATATAATTGAACAAAAGAAATTCAATATTAATACTTAAAACTAAGACACACACATACACACATACAAAAAATTTGGAAAACCTAGTGGTATCATGAGCCTACTGATTTTGCAGAAAATATATATGATTCTTTCCCTGGTAATAAGAGATCTCTCTTTAATAAATCTTGTATTTTGCAGCATTTGTCAAGTGGAGGGCAAAGTCATATTTACAGAACAGTAGCCATCAGTTAAATATATTATTTAGTATTAGAATCTAAAAGATATATATTTAATATTTCTTTTGGCATGTCAAAAGTAATATACAAAACTCATCACACACACACACAGTACTCAGAAAATTCACTTTTTTAAATAAAAATGAATAATATACATTAAATTTTGCATGCAGGGGACAGGATACAGAAAGCTATTTTGTAACTTCAAGGAAAGTTTTTTTTTTTTATGATAGAGCATAAAACTGAAAGTTCCTTTTATATGACATGCACAACACAACCTAAGGACATGGAACTAGTAAGATCAGCATTGTCCAAAGACAATGTGGTCATGTAGCAAGCATGTTTATATGCCAAAGGCACACAGAACACTGTCAACTTCCCATCGAAGTGATACCTATTAATCTACTCACAGTTGCATGCTTTCAAACTGCTAGGTGAGTAGGAGCTGGGGGAGGAACAGGAGCTCACCCTGTTGTATGGCATTCGAGTCTCAATCCCAAGCTGTCAGCTTTCCAGCTGACAAGCTCAGCATCTTTAAAAGCTAAGCCGTAGTGTCCCCTGGTCTAGAAATATGAAATATAATTAACTAAATACATAAAGTAAGTTAACCAAATTCAAGGGGACCTAATTGTCAGTTGAGTATGCATTCTGAATATTCATTCAAACCAAAGCAACTAAATATTTAGTGAAGTAGATAGACCACATATTCAGTGGTACTAATGTACATTCCAGAGACTGCCCCTTATGTTTAAATGCTGACAACTGTATCTTACTTCATACAACAAAAATAGGAAAAATCTTTCTCATTTCATTAAAAACCTGAAGGGAAGTTTTCTCTCAAAGAGGATTTAACAGAAGTACCCTGCAGAAACCACACTGAGTACACCTTACTCATATTTTCTTCATCATCTATGTTCATCATGAAATAGTTGTTCAGACTTCTACACTGATGCAGATGGCTTTTTTCTGAAAGATAAAACAGAATGATTTTAGTATGTTTTAGCAATTAATATTTAGTATTATTAGCATGAATATTTGAATATATGTTACAATATATTATACCGCACTGTGTTTCATATAAATGTTTATATTCACATAAATTACATTCTAATATTTACTAATAATTGGCATTATCCCAGGTTAGTGTATGTTTTTTTTTAATTTAAAATCTGTTTTTAAGCAACTTTAAACTTAAGGTATATTTTATTTGTCAACTTTATATTATTGACTTATTTAAAAAACAAATTAGTTTGGTCCGTAGGCCTTTCATTTAAATCCTCACACTAATTCTCTGACAATGGTAAAAGTGAGTCAAGATCATTCTGCCTGATTCTGGTGAAATGGGAAGATACACCTCAGTCACCTTCTATCCTCTAATTACAAAGCAGGTAGCATGAACTCTCCTGGGTTTCATACATTCCTTGCTCCCTATTTCATTAGCTCTTTCTTTATTCAGTCATAAATTCATTGAGCTTGAAACAACTGATCCTGGTTAGTACTTGGATAGGGGAGCTGCCCAGACAGGTAGACTAGATTGGGTATTTTTTTAAAAAAAAATCCTGGTAGACAGAAATTATACTAATTCATACATTTTTATAAAGTGTTTGTATTTAATGTATTTACCAATATAAAATATATCAATACAATTAAAGAAACATTTTAAAGTTAGCACAAATAACCACACAAGGGGAGGCAGGATAAGGCCCAGAGTCTCCTTATCAATGAGATGGGCAGCATATCAAATAAATAAATAAATAAATAAATAAATAAATAAATAAATAAATAAATAAATAAAATATTATACCCTGTAGTGTAGGAAGAACAACTTAGAATTCTGCCCTAAGTGACACAGTTAATAGGTTATCTTAATAGGTTATCTTAAAAATATTTTATTTAGATATGAAATGGCTTATTCTAAGTATGGAATCTTAAAAGTTGCTTAAAAGTAGCAAAGTGAAAATAATATAGCAATAGTAAAAGTTTTCCTCTAAAGTTCTTGATGGGATGTAGTTTCCTGTAAGAGCAGGCATACAACCTACATATTATCCTGGATTCACCTCTTGCCAGAGTAGCAGGTAGAACACTTTGCAAGGAGAGCCTTTGACCAGCTTTGGTGGTCACCAGCAATAGAATTACATTTTCCCTCAAAGCTTCTGGTGAATAAAATACCAATTAGATGGACAGTGGGCAGAGTTTTATGTTACATTAGTTGCTTTTGATTAGTTTTTTATTATGTTTTTATGACGGTAAGCTATCTGGAGTCAAGAAAGTATACAGCAGTAATGGCGAACCTTTTAGGGACCAAGTGCCCAAACGGCAACCCAAAACCCACTTATGCATCGTCGGGTGCTGGGTGGGTGTGGCCCATTGGCTGGGTGTGGCCCATTGGGTGGGCATGGCTTCAGTGGTAACAACAGACTTGGTGGGACTAAAAAGTTCAATCAATCAATTCCAACTTTGCAAGATCTTTTTTTTTTCTGCAAGAAGTTGAAATTGACTGATTGATTGAACCTTTTTTCTTTTGCACATGGTGGTGGAGGCCTAAAGTGAAAAGGTTTTATTAAACCCAGATGAAGGCCTAGGACTGGGGCGATGGCGCATGTGCCCACAGAGAGTGCTCTGAGTGCTGCCTCTGGCACCCATGCCATAGGTTCACCACCACTTGTATACAGTATACAAATAGTTCCAAAAATAAATAGTGAAAGAATCATGAAGCTATGCAAAAACATACATGATCTAATTATGTGAAATTATATGCAAGTTATGAAACAATAACAGACTATAAATTTGTCTGGGCATAGCTACTATTTACAGGAGGCTGATAAATAAGATATTGCTTTATACACAGTTATTTTAATACTTAGATATGACATAGAAAATCTAAAGCTTTATTCTGAAAAAGCAAGTCCACAAATGGACCTATGGGATTTAGGGAGGCTGACCTCCAATTCACTCTCCTAAATGCAGATCAAATCATAAAATATGTTCTAATAGTAATAGTATTTAGACTTATATACTGTTCCATAGTGCTTTACAGCCCTCTGTAAGCGGTTTACAGAGTCAGAAAATTGTCCCCAGCAATCTGGGTCCTCATTTTACCAAGCTCGGAAGGATGGAAGGCTGAGTCAACCTTGAGCTGGTCAGGATTGAACTCCTGGCTGTGGGCAGGGTTAGCTTGCAATACTGCCTTCTAACTATTGAACGATCAGAGCTCCTCGCATCTTACAAGTGGTGATATCATCATAGCAGCCATAATTTTTTTAAAAAATGCTTTTAAACAGCAAAATGAAAAGAGAAGAGAGATGTTTGATTCATCTAATAGGATGTGATAAATCAGCTGCCCACAGATAGAAGAGGTAAAGATGAGGCTGTTCACTATATTGCTACAACTTCACTTAACTTAACATCTTATTAATCTTTCATCACTTATACTTTTCCCTTAGATAGCACCTTTTTTATCTGTCCATTCCCTTTCTAACATATTTCTTCATTTTAAAAAAACCTGATTCATTCCCAATTAATTATTCTTGTATGCCTTCAATTACAATTAATTTAATTTCAATTATGATTTCAACAGAAAACTTTTTTTCTGTCTAAATCACTGTATCTGTCTTAGTTTATCTTTTTTTCTACATATTAGTTTACAAAATGTTCCAGGATCCATATTGTCCCAATACAATAATTTAATTTATATGTTCTCCTCCTAAACTAGAGGCAGACCTGCTTTGGTCAAACTGTTAGGCTTACTTTTATCCACATTTCGTTATTTTCTTTCTTACCTTGTATCTCTTTTTCTGCCCTCATGATGTGTGATATTGTTGCCCCTAGAATGAAAGGAGGCAGAGGCATTAGGGTCAGAGTTCTGGTTGACTCTGCCCCTTGTGATTTCCCCAAATTAAATGGGCATTGTAGGTAGTTAAGGACACAAAATCAGCGTAAAACAAGATCTCTGCTTTATTCAGAGGTAGGTTAAAAAAAAATTAGGTACATGGCATTTTACAGTAGTTCTAACAGCCTGAGGATGTGTCTGAAGAAGCATTACCAGTCTGATCTGCTAATAGCAAGACGTTGAGCCGCAAGGGCAAGATTTTAAAATAGTAGGGAGAATTCAAACAGCTTTCACAGCAATCCACTATTCTGTCCTCTAACTACCGAATGAACAATCATATCCCAATCCAATTGGAAGAAAAAAAATGAGAAGAAATTTAGGAAACTAATGTGAATGCATAGGGGGTTTTCAACTGAACCAAGGAGCATGTATAGGAAATGGCAGATGCGCGCATCCTCCAAAGAAAGCATACTAGTAAGGAGCTAACATCTAAAGAAATAAAGTTAGGCTAAATTGCAAAACTAACTGCAAGGAAATTATCATTAATAAGAGGGTTTTTTGGTTTTGTTAGTCAGAAGAGAAAAAAAGGAAGGGGTTGTTCTATTGCTAAGAGATAAGAGGATAAGAAATCATGGGGAGAGCACAATTGACATATTATTCCATAAATACCTCTGTTCTAATCTGAATATATAACTCAAACTTCTTCATTAGATGTTTTATGGCAGCCTCCTATTACATGATCCATCATATAGTGGATAAACCTATGATATTGCAAAATTTTACACAAATTATTTTTGTTGTTCACACTAGACTAATATAAACACTGTAGAATACAACTTCCCACACTAGATACCTTAACTAACTAACTAACTAACTAACTAACTAACTAACTAACTAACTAACTAACTAAGAGAATCTTAAGCACCTTCATATTCATTCTCACACTTCAGTATATCTTTATAGGATTATTTCTTAGTTATCCTAACATTTGAGCAATTATTAAGTTAGTATTATTAAGTCCCGCCTTAGGTACAAAGCCTGCTGGGTGACTTTGAGCCAATTATTCTCTCTTTGCTCTACTTCTGCATTTTAGTGTTAATATGGTTTCTTTTTATTCTGTGCAAATTGCTTAGCTAATTGGTATCTCATTTTTTTCCATTTCCATAACTTTTATTATACATATATTTAAATTTGGTCACTGGCTCTAAAAGAAGCTATTATCATTATTGTTAGGGTGATCATATAATCAGCCAGATGTTTAGCCTAGATTTGGCACCTATCAAGTCCTTTCTAAGGAACTAGGATAACGAGATCAATAGGTAGCAATTCTATCTCAAATTGTGTTTTTCCATACAACTTCAGATTGTCCATCTGAAGGAAGTAGGAAAAGCTGGCAGACATTTTTGATGATTGGTCTTCCTCTTTTAGTCTTCCAAAATCATCTCATTAATTAGGAGCTGCTCTTTTGTTTCTCTGCCGTTTGGGCAGTTTCCTTTCTGCTCAGGTAGAAAGAGCTTGTTTTCAGCTAGATACTGCTGGACTGCATCAGCTACCACACCAGTTATTTCTTAGTTTTCAATCTTTGTATATTTGTGATGTGTGTTGTTATTATGGTTTGTCATGTAGTCAGCTAGATGTTTAGATTGGATTTGGCATTTTTATCCACCTACTGTATATTCTGGCATATAAGGCGACCCGGCGTATAAGACAACCCCCAACTTCGGCGCCGAGTCGCATGCCTAGAAAGTTGTCTTATACGCCGGAAACTACCGTTATTTCTGGCGAATAAGACAACTCGGCGTATAAGACGACCCCCGACTTCAGCGCCGATTTTAATGCTTGCAAAAGTCATCTTATATGGCGGAAAGTACGGTACTTTCCAAAGATCTGGGATAGGTAGATGATATTGTTTTATAATGTTAAAGGTATCGGCACAGAATATAAGCCGTTCCAAAGAAGGTGGCCTTTTACAGTTGATTGGTGATTTTGTCAGTGCCAATGATGTAGTGCAACAATTGTTTGGGGATTGCACCCAAGATACTTATTGCTATTGGTACTATCTGTCAGGTCCCCAAAGAAATACATTGTTTCCTTATGCTTATTCCTGAATCTGTAAACCTTCTTTGGGGCCTGCCATTCTGTTGGGAGGGGGGATGCTTTAGGGATGCTTTGTCCTTCCCCCAGGAGAAGGAATGTATCATTCTTATCTAAGAAATGGTTGCGCTTGGAGCCAGAAGGAAATGAAAGCCAGAGAGACCTTGAAAAAACGTGCCTAAGAAGCCAGTTACCAAAAATGCTATATATGAACACTATTATTGTATAAATATAGAAGAAAATGTTTTTATTTAACCATTTATATATGGAAAATATCAAATATCAAAAATTATATTTGTTTAATGCTGAAGAAGGGAATACTATTGGGAGAAGAGAAGATCAAATAAATATATTATCAATTGATATACTAATTATGGAAATATAAAAATTAATTATTATTGACTGTTAATTAACTATTATTGATTATATATATATATTTAAAAAATTCATGAACCAAGACAACATGCTGTACACCAGGCACTAAGGTTGTTATTGTAAAAAATCAATAAAACATTTATCAAAAAAAAAGTTTTAACATATAGTAGCAGCACTGGTGTGCTTTCGTTGTTCCAAATATGCCTCCATTACTTAAAATAAACAAATATATTCATCAGGCAATTTTAGTGTAATGTTTCTAGCAAAAATTAATCAAAGACAGAGCAAACAATGGAGGACTGGTTAAATGTGAAATCCAACTAACTCTGCAATAAACATAGCACATTACCAACAGTATGAAAGGGAAAACTCTTAGTACTATAATTCAGCATTCTTTGCCCATGCTGGGAGGTTGAACAACTGGCCCTGTGGTGCAGCCAGAACAATCTGGAGTTGAACACACTTAAAACTGTAGATGATGCTGGATGTTAGGAGGAGCCCTCTTATTCTACAGCCTCTTATTATACTAGACAATACAGTATCAACAGTAGAGATTTTCAAGTTTTTGGTTTCTATAATCTCCCAGAACTTGGACACCTAACATTAGAACCATCATTAAAAAGGCACAACAGAGAATGCTTTCCTGCATCAACTCAGAAAGTTCAGACTGCCCAAGGAGTTGCTAATAATACAGGTCTACGGAGGAATTGTTGAATCTGTCATTTGTACTTCTATAACTGTCTGGTATGGTACAGCAACCAAATGGGACAGGTACCGATTTCAACAGACAGTTAAGACTGCAGAAAAAAATGATTGCAACCATTCTGCCTTATTATTATAGGATAACCGGGTAGGATATTCCTCACATATACTAGTTACCAGTGTTTTGTAAAAAAAAAAAAAAAAAAAAAAGGTGCCGGAACTCACACACGTCATACTACCCGCCTTGCCTACCCTACAAGGTTCCATCCAAAAAAGGTGCCAGAACTCCCTTCTGGGTGTTCTATGACAAAAAAAGCCCTGCTAGTTACATTTAACTCCAGTTATGGCCTGACTCTCTAAATAATTTTTCAAGGAGAAATAAATGAATTGGTAGTAACTATTATGTTTGGCAAGCAAGTAGTATCATGGTAATGAAAGGCCAAAATATCACAGGGAAAGGAGATGAATCAAATATTTATGGATTAGTTCTAGTACCAGCTCAGCTTCTACTCAACAGCATAGGTGGCTTCGATCCTAAGTTGCTGTTGGTGAAAAGCCACTTCGATCCTAAGTTGCTGTTGGTGAAAACTTCCAGATCGGTGCCAAGCATCATCATTTGGACTGAATTACTGTAATACAGTTGGATAGAGAAAAAAGTTGATTTTTTTTTCTAGACATAAGCAGCAGATTGTCTGATGAGATAGCAATCATGGACTGCAGAATCTACAACTGCTCAGGTCTAATATGCAAGTGGGAAACCCACATTCCTTAGGTTGTCTAAGGGGGAATTCCATGAGGTGGAGGAAAAACATAAAATGGTCCTTGTGGCATATAGTCTACCCCATATCAATCACATTCCATCCATATTACCAAATAGCTGCTTGGCAAGCCGGCTGCAGTATAATTTAACTGGGTGGAAAAACAGTTAGACATTTGCAGACAAAATTGCTCACATACATTCCAACTGGGGAAGCCTTAACTGCAATGGCATACTGTCTAGTTATAATTCTGTTCAAACCATCAGTATGCTTTCAATCCTAGGCTAGTCAAGCAAGTTTGGATGGGAAGAAATCATCTCCAATTCAATCTTATTAAAACTGAAGGACCTTAGATGTTTGGATCACCCAGATCTGGGGATGTTTTATCTCAAACCTTGGATGGGATAAGCTATAAAGCTATTTCCCATCCAAGTTTAGAGGTGCAATGTGGAGGTCTTTCTTGACTCATAATTCCTGCTTGAAGTGCAGATAGCAATTGTGGCCAGGAAGATCTTTGCACAGCTTCATCTGATGTGCCAGCTGAGCCCTTCCAAGATCAGAAGGCCATTCAGACAGCGATTCATGCCCTAATCATCTCATGGCTTGTGTTGTGTCCTGAACCTGTGAAGGCAGGCTCGTGACATTGCAACGGTCCCGGGCAGTTGCAAGCTGCCCGGGACCAGACTGGCTGTCGCCAGCACTCGCGCGCATGCGCGAAGTGCAAGCACACCAACTGTTGCCATTTGGCCCGGGGATCGCCTTTAAAAGGAGCAGAGGAACTTGGGCGTTGTCGGCATTGTAACCAGCATGCAGTATACCAATAAAGAGGCTCCTGAGAACTACCAACTGCTTCATGCGTTATTTTGCCATTCGCTGAGGACTCAACACTGGCGACATAGGTGGGATGCCTTACAACGATTGCAGACAAGTTGTAAGCTTACCCTGGAGTCCTGAGCAGCAGGAAACAGCGTTAAACTCAGCAGCTGCCTGCCAATTCAGCAAGCGTTGGGGGTAAGCTGGCTGATAGACCCTTCCTGTACTACTGAAAGATGGCAAAAGTAGGTAG